TTGTTTTTGTGGAGTTGTTGAGACAGACACCCCAATGTGTGCCTGTGAAGAAATTAGAGCTGCCTGGGCTATCATTAAAGGGCACTAAATCTATAGTTAAGATAGATACACATAGATTTTTCTCTAAATGGTTTAGCCCTACTGTTAAGATTTAACTATAGAATATATTGGTTTAAGGAGGTTATCTGGTCACTATATTGCACCCAAGAAACATAGACCTGACACATGAAAGAGTGCATTCAGAGACCAAAGATGGGTCAAATGCAGTTAGCCCTTTAACCAACACAATATATGTCTTTAATCTTTAAAGACTGCCTCTGCTACATCTAAAAATGTGTGGCCTGATTTGCAGAAATGTTGATGCACCCCTACCATTCAGTGACCTCTGAGAATCAGGCCATTAGCATTTATATGTTCCATAACCCACATTCATGTGACCTGTAAATCAAGTTGCGCTGACTCTTGCATTAAGCCTAAACATAAAAAAAATGCAAATTATCCTTACTATACTTTAAAATAGTTTTTCCTGTGGGATGACAGAGTGACGTTATATATATATATATATATATTTGTTTTGGTTCTGGACAACCAACACTCCGGTCATCTGAAGAAGTGAGCTGTGCCCACAAAAACTCATGATACCATCTACATGTTTTGTTAATCTTTAAAATGCCACCAGACTATTTGTTGTTTTTTAAGTTTATCCTGTACAGACTAACTTGGCTACCCCTCCGAAGCTTGTTGTTATATCACTCTGCATCCCACAGGAACATGCCCCACCCACCCCCAGGGCCCATGTGAAAGGTTAGGGCTGCCTCTGCCTCCAGCCCTCCCCTTTCCTTCCCAGCAGTGGAGGGAAAGCTGAGCTTGGGGCAGCGTGGCTTGGTCTCGGGCCCTCTCTGTGCACAGGGGGATTCCCAGGCCCAGGAACTGGACCTGGCACATGACACCACGTGGCTGCTGGAGTAAGTTAGGCTGCAGTGGGAGGGAGGAGGGACAAGGGGACCATGGCTGGGGGAGGAGAGGAAAGGGGGCCCTGGCTGGTGGTAGGGGAGAGAAATGGGGAGGGGGAAGGGGGCCCTGGAAGGTGGAGAAGGGGAGGGAGAAGGGGCCTAGATTGGTATGACTACAGCCCAGCCCTTCCCAGTGGCTGGCGGGGAGGCAAGAGCCAGGGTTGGCTTTGTGGGGGCTCAGGTGGGGAAAGATGGGGGTGTGTGGGAGTTGCGTCACCTTTCGGGGGCTTGGGAGGAAGGTGGAGTGACACATGGTGGTGACAGAGCCTTGCGGGGGTTTGGGCGGGGGGAGGGGAGGCGGGTGCACAGGACCCGTGTGGCATCCCTGGGGGAAGGAGAGGCACATGGGAACCACGCATTCTTGCCCCTCACCAGTGGGTGGCCAGGGCCATGCCCCCTTCCTCTACGCCAGAGGGAGAGAACCAGGCCAGCCTTGGTCTGGCTCAACACTCTCCTTCCCCTCCCCCCACCAGCCCGGCGGCCAGAAGGAGGAATCTGGGCCAGCTTCGATCTAGCCCAACCTCCTCTGCCACCAGTGGCAAGAGATGGAAGAGTCATGGCAGCCTCACTCTGGCCCAACTACACACACCCTCCATGGCAGCCAGAGGGAAGAAGATGGGCCAGCTTCGGGCCGGCTCAACAGCCCCCAAAGCGGCTGGAGCAGAGAGAGCCAGGCCAGCTGCAGCCTTGGTTCAGTCAACCCTACCCCTTCCAGCAGCTGGATGGGGAAGAGCAAGGGCAGGCCAGAGCTTCTATGCCTCAATCTGGCCCTCCCCAGCAGCTGGGGAGAGAGCCAGGGCTGCTTACTCCCGGAAAGGGGGGTTGGCGAACACAGCAAGCAAGGGGGCATCTAGTATTAGATTTTTTTTTAAACTTTAAATATTGATTGTGGTGTTATTTAGGGCATGATGCAAACCCATGATAGGCAACCAAACGATTTTCATTGACTTCAAAGAGTTGGAACAGGTTCTCAATCAGTATCTTTAGTTACCAGTTTGGGGGATTATTTTTTTTTCCAATGTGCATTACTTTACATTTAGCTACAATAAATGTTTCATTTGCCATTTTGTTGCCCAATCACTCAGTTTGGTGAGATCTTTTTGAAGCTCTTCACAGTCTGCTTTGGTCTTCACTATCTTGAACAGTTTAGTATCATCTGCAAATTTTGCCACCTCACTATTTACCCTTTTTTCCAGATCATTTATAAATAGGTTGAATAAGATTGATCCCAGTACGGATCCTTGGGGGATACCACTAATTACCTCTCTTCATTATGAAAACTGACCATTTATTCTACCCTTTGTTTCCTATCTTTTAACCAGTTATCAGTCCATGAGAAGATCTTCCCTCTTATCCCATGACAACTTACTTAAGAGCCTTTGGTGAGGGACCTTGTCAAAGGCTTTATGGAAATCTAAGTATACTGGATCCATTGAATCCCTCTTGTTCACATGTTTGCTGACTCTCTCAGAGAACTCTAGAAGATTAGTAAGGCATGTTTTCCCTTTACAGAAACCATGTTTGACTTTTCCCTAGAAAATTATGTTCATCTATGTGTCTGACAATTTTATTCTTTAATATTGTTTCAACTAATTTGCCCAGTACTGCTTTTAGACTTACTGATCTGTAATTGCCAAGATTACCTCTAGAACCCTTTTTAAATATTGGCATCACAACTAGCTGTCTTCCAGTCACTAGGTACAGAAGCTGATTTAAAGGATAGGTGACAAACCATAGTTAATAGTTCTACAGTTTTACATTTGAGTTCTTTCTGAACTCTTGGGTGAATGTCATCTAGTCCCGAGGACTTGTTACAGTTAAATTTAACAATTTTTTTCCAAAACCTCCTCTAATACCTCAATCTGGGACAATCCCTCAGGTTTGTCACCTAAAAAGAATGGCTCAGGTTTGGGAATCTCCATGACATCCTCAGCTGTGAAGACCAAAGCAAATAATTCATGTAGTTTCTCCACAATGACCTTATCGCCTTTGAGTGCTCCTTTAGCATTTATCATCCAGGTGCCCCGCTTTTTGTTTGCCAGGCTTCCTGCTTCTGATGTACTTAAACATTTTGCTATTTGTAGCAGCGCGTCGGGGTTCCCCCGCCTCCTGCACCCCTGTAGTGGTACGAACAGACTCCACCAGCCAGTAGAATAGAGGGAGTTTATTGCTTCTCCAGGATACAGCACAGCAGAGATGTAATCCGGTTACAGGGCAGGCCTAGGATGCCTCAGTCCCCCTTGAGATGGGGGAGACTGGGCCCCTAAATCCCAGCCAATTGCTTAGGCTGCTTCCTCCATGATACCAGACAGAAACTAAAAACTGTCCCTTCAAGCTCTGCTCCCCAGCCAGGAGCTGGCCTCCCCTCCTTCCTTTGTTTCTCTTCCTGGAAGGCAACTGGTCGGACAGATTCGGAGCCCCTTGCATAATGAGACAACCCCTGTCCTTCTGAGCCGTGCTACAAACAGCTGCCAGTGGAGATCACCCACAGCCCACCGCCCAGCATAGCAACCAGCAAGGTACTAACACTACATCACACTATTACTCTTTGATTTTTTGGCTAGCTGTTCTTCAAACTCCTTTCTGGCTTTTCTTATTATATTTTTACTTAATTTGACAATTTCTGTTATCCTCACTAGGATTTAACTTCTACTTCTTATACAATGCTTTTTTATCTCTCACTGCTTCTTTTACTTGGATGTTAAGCCATGGTGACACTTTTTTGGTTCTTCTACTATGTTTTTTAATTTGGGGTTTACATTTATGTTGGGTCTCTATTATGGTGTCTTTGAAAAGATTCCATTGCAGCTTGCAGGGATTTTACTTTTCTCACTATACCTTTTGCTATTCTTATCTAGCTGTGAAATTGGATGAGGTCAAGAAAAATCTGAGATGTGTGCAAATAAATGACTGGAGTACGGGTACTAGCAGGTATGTACTGTTCAGGAGAGAGAGACGTAAAGATAGTTTTATTTGTTATTTCTTTTTGTTTTTTTACAATGCTACCACACTATTTGCGCCAAAATCACTTTAGGGAAGGACTATAAAGAGGTTCTATGTAGTAGTGTTAGGAATTTGCTAGAGACCTTCAGGATCAACTTTGGACATGGACAGAAGTCTCTTAATGTTATTAAAGAGAGTACTACTATTACTACAAATTGTCCTTAAGGAAGGCTTTCTCCTCTAATCTATAGTTTGGCAGATAATCTCTATTAATAATGGTAGGGCCCAACAGTGATAGGTTTCTTCGCTAAACAGTCACTGAATGAGAAGATGTAATACTACTTTAGACTGTTTTAGTAAACAGTGATGAGACTATATAGAATAAGTGATCACGAGGTAATCTAGTATAAATTAAAAGGAAAGAGAATGAAAACAGGTTAGTTACAAATATTCAATTTCAAAATGGCAGACTGAGAGAAACTAAGTGAACTAGTTAGTGAAGTCAAGTGGATGGAAGAGTTCAGGGACTTAAAGAAATTCCAGACCATCTACAAGTTTAAGTCAGAAGTGCAAACGTTTGTCTGGAATCTGCATTCCAAATAAAAGATTTAAAAAAAATGTACAAGGAAAGACTCTAGCCCTCACTTGTTGAATAACCACCTGAAAAAGGACATGAGGAGTATGTAGGGAAGAATGGAACACAGGATATATCAGCAAAGGAAGCTACAGCTTGGAAGTAAAAAAAATACAGACAAACTGAAAACTGTCAAAAGTCAATTATTCTCAAATACATGCTTAATATGAAAATATCTCCTGCATGCTTAATATGAAAATAAATCAAACTGCATGCTTAATATCTCCTGCATGCTTAATATGAAAATAAATCAAACTGCATAATTTAAATGAATATTCACAAACTGAAGCGTTTGTGTAATAGGTTCTCCTTTCCTGATACCACAAAATATTCTGTGAGCATAACAACACTCACCATCACATACAATAGTCTGATGATAAGTCTAACATAGTGTAAATAAGCAATCTTACTGTTAGTTTAGCTTTTTCAAAGGCTGTTCTATCTTCAAGTAAATAAAGTCTTTCTCTTCGACTTTACTCTGTTGTCTTTGCTTCCCCAGAAAAGAATCTAATGTTCTTTTGTATTAACTATAAATCGAAGGAAAGACAATTTTGCTCTGATATTAGACAGCCTGAGTCTCTTTCTAGCCAAGTCTCTTCCTGCTTCCTCCTACTTTAAGGTTACAACAGGAAATACTAAGCCACACATACATTTAAAGACATATACACATTTAATCCAAAACAGTATCCATGACTCTTGCTTAACATCGTTGGCCCTTTTAAACAGTTCTAACAATCTGTCCAATTAAGGCCTACATTTACAATTTGCCAGTAGACTGAGTGCAGCATCTGATTAGTATGCTACTGAAAAGACTAAGGTACAAATCCAAACACCATAAGAAATGAGATTCAGTACACATGACCCATGTTTTGAACCTAAGCATTTAAAAAAAAAGTCAGACCCCCAAAATGTCATGACTAGCTTAATAATTGAGGGTTTAAAAATCATAATTGTCAGGGTTCTATTGCCTTCTAGTTTTCAAAACTTTAGGATATGAATGCTTCACATTTTCAAGCTTTTCTCCATAATCATGAAGACAAACTATTTTTAAATATTAAAGCTGAAAACTTCATGCCATTTAGGGATGTTAAAAAGCATTTTTGGGTTTTTTTTTTGTAAATGTGTAACTCTGGAATTTTTCAATTGATACATGTTTACACACAGAGGGGGGTGGCTCCAGTGGCTCTGTATCAGAGGCAGCAATGTGGTGAGGGCCGGAGGGAGGCAGGAACTTAAAAGCAAGCTTCCCATGCATATTATTAGTTCATGCCTGCCCCCTGCACTGCTGCCTCTGATACACAGGCAGCAGTGGGGGGAGGGAGGCCTTGTGTGCAACTGTGAACATTAACCATGAGCCTGACAGAACAGAAACCAGCAGAATTTGGCAAGCCAGTATGTGGGCAACAGTAAACTAAAAATGTCCCAGGCCACACACACAACCTCGATGTGCCACAGCTTGCCTCCCACTTAGCTTGGGCATCTTACACCTAATGGGGTTGCAGAATGCATCTCTGGGAATGAAATAGTACATTGCATATTGGAATCTGCCTTTGGTGCAGATCATGCAGCTGGGAATGAGTGGTTTCCTTAAAATTCACTGCCACAGAGCCAAGAAAACACTTGATTTTGAAAGGATAGTCAACCAGTGTGCTGTGACCTCTGTTCATTACTCTTAGGCTATGTCTATACTATAGCCTCTTGCGCAAAAACATTTGCAAATGAGGCAAAGCGTGGAATATCGCTACACCTCATTTGCATAATTAATAAGGCTCCATGTTGCGCAAAACCCCCTCTTGCACAAGAGCCGTTCTTCCTGAAAAAATGTGGAAGAATGGCTCTTGCACAAGAGGGGTTTTTTGCACAAAAAGCTCTTGTGCAAACACGGAGCCTAATTAATTATGCAAATAAGGCATGATGACATTCCATGCTTTGCCTCATTTGCATACATTTTTGCGCAAGAGGCTATAGGGCAGACATAGCCTTAGGCTACATCTAAACTAGGATACTCTTCTGCAAAAGGAAATGCAAATGGATGCTCATTTGCATATGTCATGTTCTCATTTGCATTTCCTCAGATCCCTTTTGCGCAGGAGTTTTTTGCGCAAAAAATGCGTAGACAGCTCCTTTTTGCTCAAAAACCCTTTTGCACAAGAGCTATTCAGAAATGAAAATGAGAACATATGCAAATGAGCACTCAATTTTCATTTCCTCTTGCAGAAGAGGATAGTAGTATAGATGTAGCCATAGTGTTATCCTTTAACTGAGGAATGAGAACCTTTTTTGGTCAGGGGCTACCAACTCACAGAAAAATCATTCTAGAACTGCACACCAGCGAGAAACAAGAAAATAAAAACCAAACCCTCAATGATACGACATCTGACTGAGGAGAAAGACACTCCCCACAATCCCTCGCACAGCAGAGCCTTAGGCTAGATTTTGTGTGCTCCAGTCCCACAAATGCTGAGGGGAGCCCCAAGCCTCTGGGGCCAGGTCCAGACAAGCCAGGATGCCCCAGGTTTCACTCCTGCTTTAACTCCTGCCCCTGCATCCTGTACCACCTCCTTGCAGCCAGCTCTTGGCTCCAGACAGTAAGGTCTCTGGAGCAGGGCCCACCTGTTTCTCGCAGAGGTATATGTTAGCTCAGGGGGCCTCGCTACCTTAGGGGTTACGCTACGGAGTAGCTAGCGCATGGCACTGTGCGTTGGGAAGCCTCTTCAGAGCTCCCTTCCTCGTTAGTATTCTTCCCACCTCCACGAGCCTGGAGACTTCGCTTCCCCCTCAGCAATAGGGGACAGGGAGACCTCTCCCCTTCCGTCTTCCACCTCCCGTAATCGAGGGCTGCGCTGTCCCCAAGACCCATCGCCGCTTCCGGGAAGGAGGTCGGAGGGAAGGAACTTCTTAATCTTTCTCCTTTACGGCGCCTCTCTTTTTTCCGGAACTACGAGAGGTTTGAGCCGGAAGGAGCGCGCCTCCCGCTCGTAGCTTACTGACTAGCAGCCCCCAGGAGGCAGTCAGCATCGCCCCTTACATCGCTAGGCGACCTAGCACCCGCCCATTTCAGTAGGCGGGAGGGAATGTTTACAAATAAAAAGGCGAGTGGGCGGGGGGAGCGGGAGGGGCAAGGGCAATAGGGCAGCGCGCCATTTGGCTAGAGGGCGGGAACGTACAGTCCAACGGTCTCTGACCAACAGTCGGCCAGCTGCTCAGGCGCGAGAGCCAATGAGCTCTCAGTATCATTCTTCTACGGACTGGAGAAGCGAGAGGAGTTGAGGAGGGAGGGGAGCTGGGGCGGGCGGGCGGGCAACCGCAGGGGCTGGATGTTGGGAGGCGGGATTTTAATGTTGCTTTTATTTTGTATTGAATTGTATGGCGTTTACCCCCCAGACGTCTCTGAACAATAAAATCCTGCCAGACACCTTGCCCCCTCCCCACCCGCCCGCACGCCCCAGGCGGGAGGCAGAGAGAGGGGGGCGAGGGGTGGCGAGCCTTTGAGAAAATGGAGGGATCCTCCAGCTCGGCAGAGGAAGGGGAGCTGCCTCTTCTCACAGTCAAGCACGAGCTGAAGAACGGTGAGCGACCGCAGAGCACCCCGGGCGGGGGGTGGGGGCCTTGCAAGGGCCGTGGTGGGCGCGGGTGAGCTGTGAAAGGCTGGCGGAAGCGGAGTGAGCAGAGGGCTTGTCAGTCGGGGGACGGTTGCGAGGGCTACGCGAAGTTGAGATAGGAGAGGTGACGGGCAGTGGTGGGGACGTCAGGGTGAGCTGCGGTAACGAACTGGAGGGTAAAGGCCATCGACGGAGAGAAATGGCGAGGTCGAGCGAGGGGTGAGACGGGGGCTGAGTGGAGAAGGGTGCAGGGACACTGAGAGGAAAAGTGGACGGGGAGCTCGAGGTGGCGGCTCCAAGGAAAGGCCGGGGAAAAGGGAGTCGGAGGATGCTGAGTTGAGGGACGTCAGGGTGAGCTGCGGTAACGAACTGGAGGGTAAAGGCCATCGACGGAGAGAAATGGCGAGGTCGAGCGAGGGGTGAGACGGGGGCTGAGTGGAGAAGGGTGCAGGGACACTGAGAGGAAAAGTGGACGGGGAGCTCGAGGTGGCGGCTCCAAGGAAAGGCCGGGGAAAAGGGAGTCGGAGGATGCTGAGTTGAGGAGGGGTCAGTTGACTGGAGAGGAGTGTTGAGCTGTGAGGGGGGAAGAGAAGGGAGCTGAGTGGAGCTCATGAGAGAACTCCAGAAAAAAGTGACGAGAGGCGGGCTAGGGGAGAGGAAACAAGAAAAGGGGCCTTTTAAAATGTGTTTCTATATACATTTAAAATTGGGTTTGGGTGATCTTTAACTTTGTGTAGTGTGTGAGGAATAAGTGGCTGGAGGATGCCTGTATTTTCTTTTTCTGAGTATCATCGACTGTCCTTAGCTGTGTGATATGAGGTGCTCTGACATTTTCCTGCTTGGGTCTTCAAAATGCCTCATAATCAGATAACTTATTTGAAAATCCTGTGTAGAAATATTTGCACCAACAAAATCTACTGTATAAACACAGTACGAATGTTGTCCTACAGTTGTGGTTTTATGGAAGATTTTAGTATCTTGTTTTCAAAGAAGTCTTCAAGTAATTTGAATGATACAGGAATTTTTGGGTTTTTTTTAAGTTTACAAAATACAGTGAGTTAAATAGTGTGTGCACAGTATTTTAAAACAGTCCATGTCCTGTGATCTATGCCAACTAGAGAAAAACAACCCTCTCTTCTTCCCCTTCAGCCCCAAAATAAAGCTAAATTAGCTGCACCACAAAACAGGAACATTCTACTTCTGTGATGCGGGGGGGAGGGGGGGAGATGCAGAGAGATAGAGGAGGAGGAGGGTATCTTAACCCACAAGACAAATGTGTAACATAGTTTTTGATGGACCATTTGGAAAAGCAAATTCTATAGTCAAGGACACACCACAGAAAGAGTGCAGGCTCCTGCTCCCAGACATTCAGATCTAGTACCCGTTTACACAAATACTCCAGTTGACCTCAACTGTCATTGCAGCACAGAGAGAGAAGCAATCTTCTTGAGAACTAGAGCCAAGCCACCTTACATAGGGGTTGCAATTTTGCTCCCTTCTATTTTTCGTGTAATCGTCTACACGTTGACATCCCTAGTGTAGACCTGGCCTAAGAGTGACTGGACTGCAGGGTTCCACCTAGCCAGAAATGGGGAAAGCCGGGCCTATCATTCTGAGGTATGCACTTGTGAGTGACAAAAGGGAGCTAATGTGCGGCTTGCCCTCTCATTGTGCCAATCTTAAATTTAAAAAAAACCCTTCAAATATAGACTACACAGAAGATACTACAAAAGATCAGAGGTATTAATTGTTTTAAAAATTCCCAGAATGCCTCAATAATCCCTACTTAAACCTCCTCCCCCCCATATACATACTCTTCCTGATGTACACTTTGGGCTAAACAAAAACTAAATGTAGATACATTCAAGATCAGTTAATGTAACTTGAATCAGCTGGAAAAGTTATGAAAGAAACTAGTGCTCCCTGCCATCTTTTTGTCATTCTCATAACTACTAGTAATAGAATTCCTGGTGTTTGAACCATTACTGTTGTGTATATCTTCTAGAGGTAAGTTTTAAGAGGTTAATATTTGAGCTTGAGCTAGTAGTTCCTTTCAACAATTTTTTGTTAGTCAGTGCTTCTCACGATCTAGTGGTGCAATCAACACTCCCACTTTGAATTAGAAATAGGAACATGAGAATGGCCTTACTGGGTCAGACCAAAGGTCTATTCAGCCCAGTATCCTATCTGCCGATAGTGGCCAATGCCAGGTGTCCCAGAGGAAGTGAACCGAACAGGTAATGATCAAGCGATCTCTCTCTTGTCACCCATCTCCACCCTTTGATAAACAGAAGCTAGGGACACCATTCCTTACCCAGACTGGCTAATAGCCATTAATGGACTTAATCGCCGTGAATTTATCTAGTTGTCTTTTAAACTTGTTATAGTACTAGCCTTCACAACCTCTTCAGGCAATGAGTTCCACAGATTGACTATGCGCTGTGTGAAGAGAACTTCCTTCTATTTGTTTTAAACCTGCTGCTCATTAATTTCATTTGGTGGCCCTTAGTTCTTATATCATGGGAACAAATAAATAACTTTTCCTTATTCACTTTCTCCACACCACGCAGGAAGGTAAAGGGTTAGTGCCTCAGAAGCAATAAAGCATTGCTATACTTTTCATATCTAAATAAACGTAGTAAATGGCAGTGCTCCAGGCATTGTATATTCTATTTCTGGAATTATTTTAGTAATAGTGTTTATTGTTACTCTTAGTATATGATGCATGCAAATTGTTTATATAAACATCTGAATATAGAAAATTTTTATCATATGTCTTGCAGGTTTTTTACAGTTCTAAAATAGATACACTTTTATAGTTCAACCCACTATGGCTTGCAAACACTATTGGCTTGTTCCTAATCTGCTTATTTCCCCATATTAATGCAGGATTGACGTCAAAATTGCATAGTAGTTACCTTTGAGAGCCTTCTAGAAGGTTCAGAATGCCTTCACGTACTACTGAAGTTAATAGTAGTTGAAGGTGCTCAGGAACCATATGGGGAGGGCAAGAGTGGTAAATGTGAAAGTCAGGTACAGGAGGTAGAAAGCCCATGAATACCTGGTAGAGGGCTGGAGATGCACATTGTCCAGCATACTCAAACTGGTCCTTCAAAGAGTACTTG